TTACATTTTGCAATAAGGAACCACTATTTCTGGCCCATTTTCGAAACATCATACATGACATTGGTTTCCCTTTGCAGATAAGTGCTTTTATGGGAGAGCCAGAGATAGTGGTTCCTTATTGAAAAATGTAATCCAGTTGTGAATCGATCGATTCATATTGATCGAATCCATACCCTCCAAAAAGCTCGTGGCGGCGAATCCAAAAATCATTACGTGAACCAGGCTCTGTTTTTTTTTCTGTCACGGAAAAAAAAGGTGGAGGTTATGTCCCAACTAGGGCATTTCCAATTACCTGTGGTAGCACCTCAGTGAGTCAGGTTCCTACCCCAAATGTTGCGCCACTTCCAAAATTAATTGTAAATGCCTGTATCGTCTAACAAATCGGGATACTGCCACAAGGGGACAATCCCTGACACTTTTACCGTGGTGACATACATGCATATACATATAAGTCGCTTTATAGCACTCCCTCGCACTCTACGACTCCTAACCTCCAGTGTTCTCTTTCAAACCACAAATCTTGGGGCATTGAGCACCTTAACATTTCCGCTTTAATCCCTCCCTCCAACCTTTCATTGGGCGCCCTCTGCATCTTCTCCCAGGAGAAACCCAATCAAGGATTTTCTTCGGCAACCTGTCTCCTGCCATTCTCTGGACATGACCATACCAATTGAGTTGTTTTGTGACATTATTTTTTAAATTTTCACGCCCCTGTGCTCCAAGTTTTTGTCTTATTCATGCATGTTGCTTAGCGGTAACTTGGCAGCAGAGCAGGTTTACGCTTGAGTGTGTGGTGAAATGTAACGATGTGCGTGTGGTTTTGTGTTGCAGTGAAGGGCGGCTGGTCGACGTGGTCGCCGTGGTCCGAGTGCTCGTCGCGCTGCGGTCGCGGGACTCAGAGGCGAACGCGCGTCTGCAACAACCCCGCCCCGCAGAACGGTGGCGCCCTCTGCCCCGGACCCGCCACCGAGGAACAGCGCTGCACCGGCTCCTGCCAAGGTAAACTCTCCTCCCTCGTTTCTCCTTACATCGCTTCATAAGACTTTTATAGATTAGCAGGGTGTCTACAAGTCCGGAATTTCCGGAAAGTCCGGAAATAGCACTGATTTTTTAAGGGCGGTCAGGAAGTACTGAAAAAGTGCGGAAATTCTGCAAAAAGGTCCGGAATTTTTCAAATTTTTTGTAATTTTTTTCTCTATTTCAAATTTTTGAAACTTTTCTACTTTCTTCAAATGGAGGTACTGAAAAAGTACGGAATTTTTCTTCTGGAGGTGGTACTGAATTTCTCGAGAATGTACTGAAAAAGTACTTATTTTTGACCAGCCTGTTCTGGTAGACACCCTGATTAGAGTCCCTTTCCACTGAGAGTTAAGACAATGCGAATCCATTTCTGACTGGTTCCCGTATTTTAGGCCTTCACAGTGTCACAAACGGGAATAAAGATTACATTTTCACCAATTGCAAATACTACCAACCGGAATGGACCGGGGAATTACGGGTTCGGCAAGGACCAAACGGAATGAGAGAAGGAACGGATAAAGGAATTTGAGAATGAGCCGATCAAAGATTTCGAAAAACTATCATTTTATGTAATGTTTATTCCCGTTTGTGACTCCATGAGGGGGGGGGTGTCGTAACTCTCAGTATACAGGGACTCTACGATAGACTAGAGTAGAGTACATATACAGGACGATCCAAGGTTAAACGCCCAAACTGCAGGTGCGTGCTCTATGGGTCAAAATAAAACTTTTTTGTTGGAAATTGAGATTTCGTTGCCAACCTGTTGTGCAGTTCTTAAAATCCATCCGCTTATATGGCAGACGTATCGCTTGGGTCGAACAAATCGGAAAATCCTAAAATTCTAAAATTCTCTCTACTCCATTAAACACGTGATACGAAAACTCACTTCTTGCTTTTTGTGTAAGCCGCAAGGCACGTAAAACGTTCCCAGTAGATACTGAGCGTTGAATTTCGCATGTTGGAAGCTGAGTATGAAATTGAATTAGAAGTTGACGGGATGGGATTGTCTCAGTCCAACTCCTTAGGGAAAGGAATCTGGAAACAGAACCGAACATCTTGAGACTTGGACCGGAATCTGGGGAACGCGAGTGGAATTTATGTGAATAATGTGCATAAAATAACACTAACGGGGCAAGGATGGCGCAAGAAAGTGGCAAAGACGCCAAGTCTCCAGGAGTTAGTCACATCTCGTTTTTCTTGGAAGTGAGCAGATCCTAGAGTTTCAGGTTATTGTGAATGCAAAGACACAAATAATAAAACAAGAGAGAAAGGAAAAATGAATATTTTATGATTTCAAATTTACGTATACCTTCCAGTTAGAATGAGAATGCTCAACCAATTAAACGGTATACATTGGCATTTCTCCTAGATTTTTGGTGCATTTGAATTAAAATTTTTGGAAGATTATGTATTATTAATTCACTTGAAAAAAGACACATTGGATCTAGAGTCCAGAATCTTGAAAATAACATTGACAAGAGAAAGGACTCCTTATTCGATCAAATTTGAGCTTAAATCAAGAACCAAGCCTCTTTATTTAAGCGGATTTCCTTTTGATTAAAGCTTACATCTGATTGAATCGAGAATCCTTTTTCTTGTCAATGTTTTCAAGAGTCTGGACCCTAGATCCAATGTGTTTTTTTCCAGTGATTAATTTGTTTTTCAAATTCGAAGAAATTTTGAAAAATTCCTGGCGAAGGAAGGTGCGAAATTCTCATCGGATGTTCTAGTTGTTCTGTTTCCCAATGTTGTGTCCGTACCTCTAAAAGTTAATTGTCTGCCCTCTGTTCTCGTAGCTTTTAATTTTGACTTGAATTCTTGACCGATCCGACAATGACGCATCGAATGGGTAAAGAAGAGCCGTTGAAAGTTTCAATTATGAACCACGAAATATCGTCAAACGTAAACTTTGGGAGTCCAAAGGTGGGCATTTATGGAGATCACTTTAGGTGGGTCGAAGGGGATGGAGGTAACTTTGTCCACGTTTATCACCTCTCGTCGATTCAGCGAGTTTACAGACAAGTCACGCGGTGGCAAAAGCGGCGTAATCGCCCCAGCGACCAGATCGTACATTTCCTCCTCATGGAAACAACATAAATTAATGCATTTTCCATCACCATCCGGCAACTTTTATCTTGAATGTGGAAGAAATTTCGGCCAACTCAGACTGTTCAAGTGGACCAAGTTCTGGGTTTTGGTGAGCGTCCGGAAATAATTTACCGATTTCTGTGGAGGACGGCGCGTCGCGAAAATGGTGCACGGTGCAATTGATGCATATAAATTAAACATCGTTCTGGGGAGGTATGCCTCTTCCAACTGTGAATCTGGACCGCGATCGGAATACCAGTGAAAACTCATTGTAACTGGTGGGAAACGCCTGCTATTCCACTCTTTTTATGCGGTTTTCTCCGAAAGAGCATGCATTAAAACTGATTTTAATATGCGATTAAAATGAATTAATAAGTTTATCCGTCTTTATTGAATTATCGTCCTACTAATTTTCTTGGGTTTTGGGTTTTGTCAAACTAAAAGTGCAGAACAAACGTTCTGCGACGCGATCTCATAAGTATAACCTCTGGATACAACTATACGTGCGTCATGGATGTCCGTGTTGCATCGCAAAAAAGTGAAGGCGTTCTCCAGTCGCTGCCTCTGCGGTCTGAGCGGCAGCGCTAATTGTAACGCCTAAACGCAACTTATCGTGCTGAATGAATGTCCTTGCTGTACCGCAGAAGATGAGGACGCATGGTGTTGTTTAGTAATATTTTACGGGGTGTCCAAGAACGCCCGTACCAGGCCTTTTTCTCGATTGATTTAGGTCGGACGAATTTAGCGACCGCGCGGATGAATAGGGCCTCTTCGACCACAAGGAATTCGAATTTCATGGTCTCGAAACTCCCCCAGGCTCCCTCGAGGGGTAAAGGGGGGTCACGGTCCTAAAAGCCGAGGTTCTCGATCGAATTTCGATCCGATTTCATTAGAATTGAAAAGTACGAAAAATTTCATGTGAAATTTTGTTTCTTTGGGGAGTTTCGAGACCGTGAAATTCGAAATCCTTGGGGTCGATTCCCTATCCATCCCCTTGGTTGCTGACTTCGTCCGACCTAAATCAACCGAGCGAAAGGCATGGTACGGGCGCTCTGGGACACCCTGTATAGTTTACACTAGAAAAAGAAACACATCGGATCTAGAGTCCGGACTCTTAAAAACATCGACAAGAAAAAATACTCTTGATTCAATCAGATTTAAGCTTAAATCAAGAACCAAGCCTTTTAATTTGAGCGGATTTCCTTTTGATTTAAGCTTAAATCTGATTGAATCAAGAGTCCTTTTTCTTGTCAATGTTTTCAAGAGTCTGCACTCTAGATCCAATGTGTTTTTTTTTTTTTTTTCCTTTTTTTCCAGTGTAGTTTATCGCAAAGTGCGCTGCGCCACTGGATAAAGTATCAATTTATTCGATTACAAGCAATCTTAAGACGATAGCCCCCCTTTTAGAGGCCTAAAAAGTATCAGTCACTGCCCGTAAATCTGGTGGAAATGACTCGCGGAATGCGCTCTCTTTTGCCTTCGAAATTTCGCCTCTCGGTGAATCTCGAGGGAAAGGGGTGGGCTCAAAGGGGAGGGTAAAGCGGGGCGCAACGGTTATTCGATAAAAATAGGAAACGAAATTAGGGCTAAAGGGCTGTTCGGGTTCAAGGTGAGATGTTGAGGCCGCTCCAACCTCTTTTCCACTCTCGCCGACTCACGTTCTTCCGTGCCTCGCAAACCACCTGTTGCGTGTTCCGCGCAAGGAACGGGCCTTTGAACCCCACTCCCCCCTTTATTTCCTCCGAGGGTAAATCAAGCACGCTTTACTGCTCATAAAGTATCTTCGTGCCGATCCTAAGAGTAATATCCGCTAGTTTATCCCGTTTTCAAATGGATCACAGGACGAGGTACAAATTGGACCACTGAAAAACCTGTTTCCTCATCAAAATCTTACGCAGAGCCCGTTGAATATTTTGAAAAGTTTATAAAATAACTGGTAAGTGAAAAATTGACGTTTGCAGTCATATACATGTAAATGGCGAACGAACAATACTGCGTCGTTAATCAAAATAACCAACTAACTCAATCTGCATACTGGCAATTTTGCAGAGCGAAGAGAAAACTTCGCCATTTTTGTAATTTTCAGGTTAGATTTGCAATACTTTCATACATTACATTGAAACGCTCCTCTACAGAACTGGAAAAAAATGAAATCATCCGCTTTCGTCGCTAATTCTTTTTTTTCCAAAATTGTCAGTTAACCGGTATATTTCGTTAGCCCTCGATATGCTCAAAAACCTCCGGTTGGCAAGAAACCCCGTTTGGAATGTTATAAGGTATCCCTTCGTATTCTCCGTAAAATTTCAAAGAAGAAACAGCATTGTGGCTCTTAATCTCGCACCTTGTCCAGTGGTCCATTTTCGTCTTGTAGTACAAGATTCCAGCGCGTAGATTGGAAAGCAATCGCGTTTTCTGTCAAGAAATTGAAAGGCTAATCAGCTCTGACACGAAAGGGATCTCACTGATAACCAGTGGCGAGGCGTGAATGATCGATTATCGATATTTCCCCATTTGAAGCTATGGTAAAGAATCGATTATCAAGGTGTTCGCTGTGAACACCCTGTTTATCGATCCTTGTCCATATATTTGAATGACAGATCAATCGATGTATCGCAAAGCACGCCACGTCACTGCTGATAACTTATACGGTGCTAACTGGATTTAGCAAGGTGATCAGTAAAATACATTGGATGACTCTTCCTCCATGCCGAAACCTCACTTTAACGCGCCGTTTCCGAGGAATTGTGTGTCGGACATGAATGATTCCATTTGGCAAAGAACACGTGTCTGATTGCGCTCTTTGATGGAGCAAGTACTGGCGGAGACAGACACTTCGAAGGGGTCTTTGAATGCATGATGGGTTCGGTGCATAGTTGGCAAGATCGAGGCCG